TCAAAATTGGGAGCAATTCAAAACGAACACGATTCTGAACAGAACTAGTGCATTCATTGTATTCTTCATCTGGATGTTTATAGAGCCGTTCAACAGTATAATAGGATTCTAAGGAGCGCTCAAGAAAAAATACTGAGAGTGCACAAATCCTGAGAATCTCCAAGTCATTTGGCAAAAAATGAGCAATTGTTTTATAAATTAGACATTTAGTGTTTGGATCATCCTGAAGGTCCAGTTGTAGAGCACATCCACATATTTCAACACAAATTTGTAAGCCTTCTACTTCAACCTGAAGGAAGAAAAATTTCTTTTATTACTATATAAGAATTTTATTTTGGCACTGCACAAATTGAAATGAAAGCACAACAGCATCTCACTTATTTTCCCTTTCAAATTTGTCCCCTTCCAATTTCCTTGTAATAAAACCTTCTGAAGGTGTTTCAGTAGACTTTAAAGGAAATGTCTAACTCTTACATTAAGTTTATATAGCACTCAAACACATATATACACAATATGTTAATCTACATATATTCACAGCTTGGAGACATATAAAAATATTTCATTATATCATCTGTCAATACTTATTCATGGAGCATTAATAAAACAAGACAAGTAATAATTCACAGTGAGACAAGTGAAAATCAAATTGGGATATAAAACTGTTGAGACAAATATTAATAGAAGAATATTAAAACTTATTTCAACTATTAATGCTTAAGATTAAAAACGTAATCATTCTTAAAGTTGTCAACTTTATATTTTCAAATGAAACAGGACAGCTGTATAATCCTCTCTTTCCAATAAAATCATAGAATGTGTCAGAAACAGTAACTTTATCAAATTTCTAAATCCCAATAGTGGGTTTCCATTTTCATAAATTAATTAGATACTGGCCGCTATAGTACACAGACTAAATTTCCAGTACTTTAGAGAATTTCATGTAGTACATATCTGGGGGCAGCAAACAGCAATTACAACAACTCACATTTATATACTGGATAATGTTACTTGATAACAGGGTTTTAAAAGACTCAAATGTTAATCAATAGAAACTTTTTCAGAAAATGGTATTAAATAATTTCATATGATACTTGATTATGTGCAATATAAAGTCGGTCTGCAAATAATCAGGTGGGTCCTTCCAAATGAGGGGAAGAAAGTTTATTTTAAAAGGTTCAAATGAAGTACCAAGAATGCTATTAATGAGGTAAATATCAAATGAAAACTTATGTGAGAGAAACAGAACCCAAGAGAAGATAAATGAAATACCTTTCAATTCAGGCTTTGAAAACTTGTTTTGGTGACTTGAAAGGCAATAAAATTAGTTCTTACTTGAATAGGGCTCATTTATTATCGTTAATTCAAGCGATATCTAATGGCCTGAATGGTTTTGGATACTCTAAAAACTTCTAAAAGGTGGGCATGGCACATATACAAACAAATAGCAGACTTCTGTATTTAGTACTAAAATTCAAATGATGTAACCAATTATTTTAACACATTTTGAATGTGTGTACCATCTTTCAATTTCCCTTCCTAAGCGGCTGAAATGTAAAAATAAGCTATAATGGACACTTGCCTTCCATATTCTAAACACATTATATAGTAATTTTATGTGTTTTTATTAGATGCTTTGCACTTAGTAAAACATTTAATAAATCTCTGACAAATCTGAATTTCTTGAATTTAACTCAAATGATAAAATAAATAACAAAATGACAAGATCTTTCAATAGTACTGCAATATGATTATGGATAGCCTGAAAATGTTTATATTATGAAAACTAGGAATATTACAATTTCATATGCATACTAATGACAGATGTAAAAATGAACATGTGATAAGTATAAAGTAGCTATGACAAATGAAAATTTACCTTAAAGACTCCTCATTACATGTATTAATCATATACAAAGTTGGTTAAATGGAGCCACAATGAAATATAGGGGTGCTTTTCCTCTCCATATCTTTGTGTTCAAAATTCAAGCTAGAATTTTAGGGAAGGAATTAAAGAATCTTCAAGATTCTGCTTGATATATATGTTAAGGCCCATATTGAGAAACATACCCATTTAACAATGGGCCAAGCCCCTTGATTTGGGGCTTAATTTTTTTTTATTTTCACAACATGTTGAATACTAAGAATCACAAAATTTGAAACCATCTATACACATTAACAGTTGGCACTCTAAATGAAAGATCCTTGTCCAGAAACCAGAATGAACATTGCACCGGAAGAAATCAAATTTATTTATTGATTATTATTATTAAGTAAAATCAGAAGAAAAAAAGGAAGTTGCAGCTAAATGGAAAGACACCCCACAAGTTGTCCTTGGAGAGGCAAATATAGGATTTAGCAGAGCTGATTTTACCATATATCCAAAGGCAACAGGTAACATCCTTTCTTGGGACACTTGGTCACTTTGAATTTCACAGCTTATGATAAATGTTTGTAAAAAACCCACTATGAATTGCAGATTATGTGCCAATATCTGTTGCAAAGGATGAGGAGGTAGAGAAATACTATGAACATGAAACGATCCTCCAAATTAAACCATCAATTACTTTAATGCTCAGTGACTTCAATGTAAAAGCAAACATAGGGGATGACTGTGAAAAAATTGTTTAAAAACATTGTTCAGGTCTAAGAAACAAACAAAAAAAAGAGGCCAAAAGCTTCTAGATAAAGCAGAAACCTCATGCTTATATACTATGAACACTATCTAAGTGAGATTTAGAGGTACAGAACACCTAGAGATACCTCTTACCTCCTTCCCTCCATTGCCCAATGAAGTTGATTATAATCTAACAGACAGGAAACAACTCAGCTACCAATGTTGAAAATCACTTTGAGCTAATTGTCTTTGTACAGTCAGGCCAGCAACTTGTTAGAGGGAACCCCTCACCCTACTACCCTCAAATCAACATCAAATTAGAAGAATTTAATGAGATGCTATGTTGAGCAAAAAAAAACAACTCTAACTTGACCTTTTTAAAACAAGCTTTTGATGCTTCTAAATTAAAACTGGATAAAATAAGAGATGTTAACATTTAGTTTCCTAATTATTAACTAAGGAAACATAATTAATATAAATCAATTATCACAAGAGGAAAACAAAAGAGCCTACAAATTTTCCTTCTCTTTACGAAGCAGAGACATGGCAACCAGGCTTAGAGTACAAACCCATTTGTAAAATCTTAGAGAGGAAAATGGTGAAAGATTATGCACTGTATCATTTCTTAAAACAGGGAGAAGTAGAGAAGGGTAAAAATTAGTTTAGGTTAATCTAAGTATCTACACAACAAAATCCAAGTGGAGGAAGAATGTCTACTCTAAGACCATGAAATGCAGTTTAGTAGCTAGTCCATAAAGCTGATGGAGAGGTCACATATCTTGGTCAGATACTGTGGGTGGATGATGAATAGCAGTGCACTTGATTGAATATGGAAAATTGTGCAAATTAGTTTCTGCAAAGACAATGAGAGAACCAATCATTTCAGATCATTTTAAGAGTATTTGAAGATGTACCTGGAATGGCAACAAACATGAAAAAAGATCTGTCCAGATTTCTATTTGATTAAAAAAGTTATTTGAATATGAGGCACCACATCTAGATTCCTAATGTAACAGTCTCCTATGTGCTGCATGAGGAAGTAAAAATGACATTAAAGAAGCAATGAAATGGGAAGAGCAGCTAGAGTAGACCAAGTATTTACAATGGAGGTTTATGCTGGAAGTGACACAATTTTGAGGATGCTAGGTGACCTGATTCTCAAAAAATCTGAGGAGAGAGATCATGTGTTTGTTTTGAAACAACCACCACCACTATAACAACAAAGCTGCCAACCAATATGTCTACTTTTCTATCTTGAGAAAATCTTTATGAAAAGAATCCAAATAGAAATCAAAGATAACCTTTCTAAAAATATGGAACACATTTAATTTTCACATAATCCAAAGCTTATAATGAAATTGCAATGATCAGCATCTTAGTTAAAAACCAGGTAGACTTGCTGACAGCCCTGGTTGTTTCTATTATGTTTGACTTTTTAAAATTGTTTTATTATTGCATTCTTTTTACATAATATCATATCCTAATATATCACTCCCCTTAACATCTTTAAACAAAAAAAAGGGGGGGGGACAACAAGAGGTTATACCTTTCACATTTGATACTCTGTAGCAGACTATATATTTACAGTCAAATAAGTGACTAAAAAGCAGAGAAAACAGAGCATCTTACATGCTTAATTGATTTTTAAAAATTATTTGAAAAGTAAAAGGCCATCTTAAAGGCTCTCTTCCAACAAATTGTCTCCCACGAATATATTACAATCACAAAATATTTCTTGAGAGATGCAATTACAGATAACTTTGATGAGTCTGTGATTGTTAGTATAAAATGAAGGAAAAAAATAGGGAGAAATCTACTTCCCAAAGGTGTCTGACACTATAGTGGAAAATATTTATTCCCAAGTCTAAACGTAATAAAAATTCCATTCTTCGAATGGTCCTATTTTCAGATGACATTGTATAGACTGTGTCAAGCTCTGGAACACTGCAGAGGGTCCTAAATGAAATCCACAATCATTTAGAGGTTTAGATATCTAAATATCTACACAGGAAAATCCAAGTGGATGAAGAATGCCTACTCTAAGACCATGACATGTAGTTTAATAGATAGTCCATAAAGCTGATGGGGAGGTCACATATCTTGGTCAGATACTATGGGTGGACAATGAATAGCAGTACACTTCATTGCATCTGGAAAATTGTGCAATGTTTTTGGCGACTCCAAGTTTTTCCCTGAAATGAAGGAGTATTAAAAAAAAAAAAAGCAACATGATTCTAGTGATTCTACAGAGCTGCAAAGGATGGAATATCACATGCAATGTCAAGAGATCTAAAGAAAGATCTATACTACAGTAGGTGGACCTACTATGAAGGTTTTATAGAAGGTCATGAACAAGTCTTGCACAGGATGAAAATATGTGGATAGTTTCTTTACTATTGGAGTATGTACCCATATTGTAAGATTTATCAATTATTGAAGTATTGAGTTTAAAAAATTTTTTATTTTTAAAACTACCTTAAGATTAAGAAAGTAAAATGTTTACCTGATTTCAAATTTATTGTAACTTAGTGTCTTAATATGTTTGAATCAAGCTTCTCTTAAGAGTTACTACTGTGCAGACAAACAGGTTAATCTGAAAATTAGGTTAGTTTCTGTATATAGGCTTTAACATACAAATTAGCAACCAGATTTTTAAAAAATGTTGGAAATCAAAAATCAGATAGATTTTGGAGTAAAGCTAAAATTTTGTCCCCAGATAAAATTGTGTCATGAGTGAATGGCAAAATAATATTAAATTTACTTTTTTCCCCACTTAAACTGTCTTTTCATGTATAGTCCCAATGTTTACATCATAGAATCATGTAAAAAGAATGTTAAGGATACCTTAATTCTCTACCTCTTTATGATTAAATACTCTTTTTCAGCAACATGTAAGTTTCATTTGAAATTGAATTATCGTATTTAATTTAAAATGCAAAATTAAAAAAATTTACCTCATCTTTTATTATTTTCATGAAAGGAAAAATGACTCTCACATTAGTTGCTGTCCTTAAAAGCTGGTAGCATTGGTCTACAAAAACTTGCTTTGAAGGATTAGATTTAAGTTGCAGTTTACTCCATATGAAAATCAAGTCCCTGTAAAAGAAAAAAAAAAATGTAAAAATACCATTAAGCTTAGTATTAGCTATAGCATCCTGTTCTGTAGTAGGCTGGATGGGGGGTATGCAAAGTAAGTGGAAATGGTACATAATCAGAAGTCATCTAGTCCAACCCATTACATCAAAGCTATCATCACTTAAGATATCTGACAAGTGGTTGTGATTATTCATATCAGTCTCCACCCTATTCTTGCTGTTAGATATGAGAGGCAGAAGCTGTTTAAAAAAAGGGGGGGGGGGCAGCTAGGTGGCCCAGTGGATAGAGCGCCGGCCTGAAGTCTGGAGGACCGGAGTTCAAATCCAGCCTCAGACACATAACATTCACTAGCTGTGTGACTCTGGGCAAGTCACTTAATCCCACTGTCTAACCAAAAACAAAAAAAAAAACCCCAAAAAACAAAACAAACAAACAAAAAAAAAGCAGTGGCAGTCCTATGAGTAGTGGGACCCCAAGCTAGATCAGATGCTGGCAAATATAACCATATGATTATAACAAATTCTGATACTTAGTAAAAGGTCTTTGATGTGTATATGGAAAAATATTTCAAAAAGGCTATCTTGCAACTGCTCAATAATCTTATACTACTCTTGACTCCTTATTTCACTTCATTATAGCAATTCCAAACTTTTTCTTTTCCTATCTTGCCACCAAAGAAAATGTCACCGTCCAAAAAAACATAGTGGAAGACTTAGCTTCCTACTACCCATCCTCATTTTCTCAAGCTATCTCAGTATCAACACCCTTGCTTCCTTCTCGCCAGTCACAGTAGAGATATCCTACTAATCATAAAGATTCATAATCCCTCTGTTCTCAATCCCACTTCCTTTAAGACTTAAGTAGAAGTGCATCCCTTCTTTTAAATATATGTTTAATCTCTTGATCACCACTAGACTCTTTCTCAAACACACTACAGTTTCTCCAATGCTTAAAAACTGTTTCTTTGACTTTTCTATCTTCTCTCCCTCAATGTCAAACTTTTTGGGGAAAATGTGTCTACAACCAGTCAACCCACTGACTCGTCATCCACTTTCTCCTCAGCCTGATGCAATCAAGTTTCTGCCCCCATCATTCCACTGGAACTGCTTTAAGATCATTAATGATGCACTAATTGACAAATCCAATAATCCTCCATTTTGGCCTTTTGCAATTTTTGATCATCTCATCCTAGAAGATGCTCTCATCTCCCTCTACTTTAACAGACATCACACTCAATCTGCCATCTGATCTTGTCTCATACTGCACTTGTCTCCATTCTGATCTCCAGCCTCCTTTGGGAAGAGGAGAGGCTTCTTGCACTGAGTGATGAACATTCTCACCTCTGGTCACACCCAACACATCCCAGTGATTTTAAACATCTGGAGATCATCATCCAATCCCCTTATTCCAGTCCCCCACCAATCAATTCCTTATTCCCATCCCTGTCAACCCTTCCATCGCAAAGATCCAATCAAATACCACCCACCCCTTCAACTGTGCCCCATGGAAGGCCTGTTTCAAAGGCAACAAACTTCTCTTCATCCTAAGTGTTTTTCCTCTTCCATTCTTTTCATTTACTAGCTACTACTGAAACCTGGCTCCACTTTGATGACACAGCTTTCCTGACTACCCGTTTTCCAGTACTGGCTGTTCCTTTGCTGGACCCTCATCCAGATCTCACTCTCTAACCATAGGTGTCCCATAGGATTCTGTCCTTGGTCCTATTCTGTTCTCCTATATTACTTGGTGATTTAGTCAGCGCCTATGGACTTAATTACCATCTATATGCTGATGATTCTCAAATATACCTATCTTGTCCTCTTTACTGACCTCAAATCTTGAATCTCCAATTGGATTTCAGACATTTTGAACTGGATGTCCAGTAGACATCTTAAACTCAATGTCTCTAAAATGAAATTCATTATTGTTCCCCCTAAACATGCTTCCTAAATTCCCTATTACATTAAAGGGCAATACCATTCTCCTCATCACTCAGGCTCACAACCCAGGTATTACCCTCAGCTCCTCACTATCTCTCTCTTAACTCCTTTATTCAATATATCTTCTCCATATATCCAATCTGCTGCCAAGGCCTTTTAATTTCACCTTTGCAACATCTCTTGAATACGTAGCTTCCGTAGCCTTCCCTCCTCTGTCACTGACACCATCCTAGTGCAGAATTTTATCATCTCCTTGCCTCAAGTCTCTCCCCTCTCCCATCCTCTAATCAGTCAAAAAAAAAAAAAAAAGATTTTTCTAAAGTGCAGGTCTGACCATGTTACATTCCCTACCCTTCACTCAAAACTCTAGAGACTCGAAATTGCCCCCAGGATCAAATACAAAACCCTCTATTTGGCATTCAAAGCCCTTTATAACCTTGCCCCCTACCTTTCCAGTCGTTTTACACCTTACTCCCCACTATGCACTCCTCAATCCAGTGATACTGGCCTCCACGCTATTCCACGAACAAGACACTCCATCTCTAGGCTTTGGTTACTTTCTCTGGTTGTCCACCAGGACTACAATGCTCTCCCTTCTCATCTTTCTGCCTACTGGCTTCTCTGCTTCATCTCATTTTTCTCAACCCCTCTTAATTCCACTTTCTTCCCTCTGGTAATTATATAATAATAATATATATTTTTTAAAACACACACACACACACACACACACACAATTTAGTTCATATTGATTTGTTCCTTGTCTCCTCCATTAGACTGTGTGCTTCTTGAGTGCAAAGACTGTTTTTTTGCCTTTCTTTGTACTTAGCACATAGCAAGTGCTTATTAAGTGTTTACTGACTGACTTTAATTCTTATCCTACTTTTCAGGGATCCTGTCTCTTTTCTTCTTAGCCCCTTAAATGGGTGTTTCCCAAGGATTTGTCTTCTGTTATCTCGGGTTCTTCATTCTCCCTCTCCTATTCACATCTAAGTTATCCAAGTCATATTTATTCTCACTGCACACACCAACTCCCCACCTCCCCAGGACAGATCCTTATTACCTCTCATCTAAACTATTACTACAACTTCCCAACACATCTTCCAGCCTTCACTTTCTCCCATTTCCAATATACTCATTATACTATTATAAAAAAAAAATCTTCCTTACACTCACATTTGTAATGCCACTTGTCTGTTCAAAAATCTTCATATTCTTTGTTGCTAACCAAATAAACTTCAAACTTATATACTTGGTGTTCCAGAACTTCTACAGTTTGGAAATAACCTGAGTCTTGTTATTCCCCTCCCACACAGTCTAGATACATTACAGCCAAACTAAAGTACTTTCCCTTCCCCCTACCCTGAAAATGTAGGATGTTCCTATAGCTCTATGTTTTCATTCAGGCTGTCCTATATTCCTAAAATACTCTCCCCTCCTCTTTTTCACCTATTAAATTCCCCCTCCTCTTTTAAGTCCAACAAAAAAGTTCCCTTTCCTTCAGGAAACCATCCCCAATTTCCATGGTTAGTAATAAATAACTTTCCCCCCAAAACCTCACTTAACACTTTTATTTTACATAATATTCTAACATATTATGTAGCAGCATACATTATAGTTATTTGTTGATGCCTTATGCCCCCCTACTAGACTATATATACCTTATGTAGAGGGACTATGTCTTATGTAAACTTTATATTGCTGCCAATACATAGTATCTGTTTGCTTTGTAAAAGTAGGTAATTAATAATGGTTGTATTTCTATGTCATTATCATAATATGATAAAGATCTGGGTTCAACTGCTGCCTCCTGGCAATGTGGCTTCCATCTCATGTTCTGGATTTTCTCCTACCTGATTTCCAAGCTCCTTTGGGAAGAGAAGTTGTTCTTTCCACTCAATGATGAACATACTTGGACCTGTTCACACTCTATACACCCAGTGATACTGAACACCTCTAGATCATACAAATTCTATTTCCCATTCCTTACCTCCTGATTCCTTATTCCCATCCCTCTCAAGCTTCTCATCCCAAAGTCCCATCTAAACACCATTAATATCCCATTCCTCTAGAATGTCTGTTCCAAAGGTATCAAACTTCCTTTCATCCTAATTCTTTTTGTCCCTACTCCTTCCATCTTTGACCAATCACTGAAATCTATCTCTTTCCCTATGATACAGTATCCCTGTCCACCCTTTCCAGTGTTGGTTGTACCTTCACTCATTCCCTCAGCTAACTTGTTAAGACAGGAGAGCTAGAATATTCCTTCTTCCCCATTGCCAATTCCAGGTTTTCCTCCTGCCTCCAGCACTCAGTAACCTCTCTTCCTTTGAGGTCTGTGCTATTCATATATACCACCCAATCAAAATCCTGGTAGTTGTTTAGTATATAGACCCTATTACTCCCCTTTCTTCCTCAATTCAGTTCCGGATCTAGCTCACAAATTTTCTCTTCCCCTCAATTCCTACTCTCCTATGAATATACTTCATCCCATATACTGACTGTCCCTCAAATATTAACTACTCAGTTTCTTCAACCTACTCATTTCCCATGACCTCTTATTACTCTACCCCACCTCAGCCACAAACATGACCATACCCTTGATCTTGCCATCACTCACAAATGAACCACCTCCACGTTCATGAATTTCAAAATCCCCTTCTCTAACTATAGTGAATTGGCTTTCCACCTCTTCTCCTCTGCCTTCTATTAGAAAATAATATACTTTATCCACACTGACACTTCCAATCCCTTGACCCTTCAGTTCTCTTCCAGGCAATTTCCCCTGCAGAAGCCTCTCTTTCCTCTTTTCCTCATTTTAACCTCTTGGTGAATACATTCAACTCTATACAGTCCTTCTCTCTTGAATCCCTAATGCCTTTACCATATCACTGATAATGCCCTTCCGAGCTTTAGCCTGGGATCACTCCCATAATTTGCAGCCTTCACAACTACATACATACATGCATGCTGCTTCATGAAGGTGGAGAAAATCATGCCTCCATTCTGACTCAGTCCCACTATAAATTTATGTAATTTATGTTATACAACCTCAACTGGGCC